GGCTCGAACTCACGGACCGCAAGATCGTGACCTGGCTGAAGTCGGACGCTTAACCGACTGTGCCACCCAGGCGCCCCGACCAGTATGTTTTTAAAAGGAAGATAGTAATGGTTGTCTGGAGCCCTGTGCTGTAAAGGTACCAGGCTTCCCTCAGGGATCCATCGGAAAGTCTAAGTTGAGTACTTCAGGATGTGAAGAAATGGCCACATGTGTACTACATGTTCACTTGTCCTGACTGATTGGTCAAAGCTTGCACTGTGATATCACAGTCTCTCCCGATCAAGTCCCACCCCTAGAAAGGTGAGCCGATAGGTCAAACTGTCCTGTATTAAGCACAAAGAAAAGGCAAAACATCTACACTGAGGTACATGTTTCTTCAGGGTTTAGCAAACAAACAAACAAACAAACAAAAAAGATAGATTTAAAGATGCCAGGAATGTAACTCAGCTCTTCTGATTTTCCTTTCATGTATTAAAAAGAGGAAAATATCTTTTATAGGGTTGTTAGGAAAATTAGCTATAAATAATCTTATGTTCTTAGGTGTTCAATTAATGGTAGCTATTTTATTTTGTGATTTTAATTTCTCATATTCTTGATGTTAAGATATATTTTTACAGTACATTTGATATAGTGGTGTTCATCTTAATTTTGTTCTTCTATCAATTTACGTTTTTGTTTGTTTTTGTTAAGTAGGTTCCACACTGGGTGATGGGTGGGTGTGGCAGGGCTTGAACTCACAACCCTGAAATCAAGGCCTGAGCAGAGATCAAGATTTGGACTGTTAACCGACTGAGCCACCCAGGTACCCCTTGATTTAAGTATTTGCTTGAAAATCCTTACCTTATTCTTTCCTTGCCACTGTAGTATATCCGGAACTGTGTAATGAATAGGACCTTGCCTCATTTTATGCTTGTGGAATGTTGCAAGATCAAGAAGATGTATGAACAAGAAATGATTGCCATAGAAGCTGCCATAAATAGAAATTCATCAAACCTTCCTCTTCCTTTACCACCAAAGAAAATGCGAATTATTTCTGTAAGTTTCATGTGTGAACTTTTGGTAACCCCAAAAGCATGTGATTTTGTTTTAGGTTATGTGCTTCAGCCTCACACATATTTTCTCTGTTGATTTTTCCTTCTGTGAAAACCAATGCAGATTTGCCAAAGATCAATTACCATTTATTGGTAATTTTCTTTTTCTTTCTTTCTCTTTCTCTTCTTTCTTTCTTTTTCTTTCTTTCTTTCTTTCTTTCTTTCTTTCTTTCTTTCTTTCTTTCTTTCTTTCTTTCTTTCTTTGTAATTATCTTTCTAACTACTATCCTTTTTCCTCAGCGCAAGCTGCATATAAATATAAATATGTTATTTCTGGTTTTGGTGTTCTTTTGGTGCCACAGAAAAATGTCACCAAATTAAAAATTTCTTGAGATTACAGCTAAACATAGACTTCAGGGAGCAATTTGAGACTTTCTAGTAGAAAAGTTAGACATGCAGAAATAGTTGGTTTACTGGTATAGTTCATTTCTATCAGCTTAGCTATGAGAGTGTTTTTGGTATAACTTGCCTTCTTCTTACTGAATACTTTTAGAATTTAAATATATCAAAAATACCATCTTTTCCAGAATGTAATATATTTATATAAAGCAAATCTTAAATTTCTGTTTATCAATTGGAACAGTTAACATTTTTCAATAGTTATTCAGTTTTAACAGATTGTATATTTAATCTCTTGTTGAGGATTAAGATATTAACTGTATATTTAAATGGTCAATTTTTTTAATTTTTTTTTTAACGTTTATTTATTTTTGAGAGAGAGAGAGAGCATGAAGAGGAGAGGGAGACACAGAATCTGAAGCAGGCTCCAGGCTCTGAGCTGTCAGCACAGAGCCCGACGCGGGGTTTGAACTCACAAATTGCGTGATCATGACCGGAGCCAGAGTCGGTCACCCAACTGACTGAGCCATCCGGGTGCCCCAAATGATCAATTCTTAAATTGTTTTTAATGTTGATTTTTGAGAGAGGGAGAGAGACTGAGAGTGGGGGAGGGGCAGAGAGAGAGGGATACAGAGGATCCAAAGTGGGCTCTGTCCTGACAACAGAGCCTGATGTGGGGCTAAGACCCACGAACTGTGAGCCGAAGTTGGACAGGCACCCCTAAATGGTCAATTCTTAATTCATCCAAAGCTTTAATATTATTTGTTTATGGTGCTTAATATAGTCACTTTCTTAACAGTATTGAAATGCTGCCAGTGTTTTGCCTAAGAACAAAGTGCTTAGGCACTTTGGTTGTGGTGCTTATTTTAGTACATGTGACTTTCAGTTGTTAGTTCAGAGGTCTGTTTTTGTTATTTTGTCAATGGACATGAGAACAGATAAGATGATTTCATTGCTAGCATAGAATATTTATTTCCTTAATTAAAATACTCTATTTCATTCTTTTGCAGCATGTTTGGGAAAATAACAACCCTTTCCAAATTGTCTTGGTTAAGGGAAATAAACTTAACACAGAAGAAAGTGTAAAAGTGAGTACTTGTTAAGATTTGAGTGTTTTTTTTTAATCTGCTGCATTATTTGAATAACTTACTGATACACATAAGGAATGTCACATTGGAGATTAAATTTTAGGTATATCGGTCAATTGCACAGGATAAAATATGGCGACTTAATGTAAGACAATTAAGAATTTTTGTCTTAAAGTATTCTTTGAATAGTTGGAGATGTACTGGATAAAGTGACATTTTCCCCTGATGGATTATGTAAAAGAACTTGCTTTAGATCAGGAATTCACCAGGTACAGTTTAAAACAAAACTATAGGTCACAGGTTCCTATGCAAGCTTAACTCTGCTTTGTCAGCCTTGTTAGAGCTGCACCCAGCCTCCTTTTTCAGCCCCCTTTTTTTTTCTTTTAAACTTGGTGAACATAGAGAAAATGTAATACCATTTTCTGGAAGAAAATAGATGACTACATTGTGGACCACAAGTTGTTAACACATGGAGATTTATTGCAGAACCCCATACAATTAAGTATAGACTTAACAAGGCATTTTGTCTTAAAGTGTAAAGCATGCATTTTCCCCTATTTTGCTTGGCAGGAAATTAAGTGAATAGTTTTGTGATCCAAGAAAGAGATTTACTTAGTTTGAGATGTTTGCTGGCATGAGGACATATTCAGGAGCATCTTGCCAAAGATTACCAGTGACTTGCTTTTATAAATGGACTTTAAAGATCCTTTAGTTAGCTGTCATTAAAATAGGGCTGTTTTTTGCTTTTACATTCTCAGCTAGGTTTTAATTTTTAATGAGTGTGTTTATGACCAGTTGGCCTTTGTTTTCTGTTTTAGTGGTAATTGTTTTTTCTTTTATTTAAACTTTCCTTATTAATTTGTGTCCAGTTGCAAAAGTAGAACATGATTGTTGCAATAGGTAAAAAAATTTAAATGCCAGTCATGAAAACAGTTATTGATCTTTTTTCCCCCCAAATTGACTTGAGAAGCCTTCCTCCTATTAATTTTCTGAATAAGTTTATATAGAATTGGTATTATTATTTTTTCTTTAAATGTTTGGTAAGATTTACTCCAAGCCATCTGACCCTAGAGTTTTCTTTGTGGGAAGGTTTTTAATTAGGAATTTAATATCTTTAATGGATATATAGTCATATTTTTATTTCTTTTGTGTCAGTTTTGATAATTGTTTTCTGAAGTATTTGTTTTAAGTTGTTAAATTATTACGTTCATAATAGCCCCTTAAATTAGTTTTCTATTGCTGTTTAGCAAATTACCACAAAGCTAGCAGCTTGAATACGTATTTATTAGCTTGTATATCTGTCAGTCAGAAGTCTAGATGTGGTGTGACTGGGTTTTCTGCTTATGGTTTTACAAGGTTGAAATCCAGGTGTTAGGTCGTATTTCTTCTGAAGACTCTGGAGAAGAATTTGCTTCCAGCGTGATTCAAGTTATTGTTCAAATTCAGTTCCTGGAAGTTGTAGAACTGAGGTCCTCATTGCCTTGCTGGGTCTTGGCAGGGGATTGACTGGGGATTGCTCTTAGTTACTAGAGGCATCTTTCAAGCCTGGCTCTGTGGCTCTATTTTTAACTCTATAGAAATGGAGAATTTGTCAAGCATCACATTCTTCCCACATTTTGAATCTCTTGCGGGGAAGAGCCTGGTCCCTTTTTGATGGCTCACCAATATCTCCCTTCTTCAAAGTTAGCTATGTCAAATAGTATAACCTAATCACAGGAGCGAATCCATTATATTCACAGACCCAGAGATCCTATGGGGCACATGATTCTCTACAGTTTGTAGTGAAAATCCTAGGTGTTCAGTGAAGATTCATTATTCTCCCTGGCTGGCACTTGAATATCTTTTGACCTTTTTTTTTTTAATTTTATTTTTTATTTGTTAAAATTTACATCCAAATTAGTTAGCATATAGTGAAGCAATGATTTCAGGAGTAGATTCCTTAATGCTCCTTACCCATTTAGCCCATCCCCTCTCCCACAGTCCCTCCCATAACCCTCAATTTGTTCTCCATATTTATGAGTCTCTTCTGTTTTGTTCCCCTCCCTGTTTTTATATTATTTTTGTTTCCCTTCCCTTATGTTCATCTGTTTTGTCTCTTAAAGTCCTCATGTGAGTGAAGCCTGTCTTTTGACCTTTTAAGTGTGCTTAGAATTCTGTAGCATAAAGCTTTCTGATCAGTCTTTTCCTAGCCTTGTGGTGTTTCACTTTTCAGGTATGCATATTCATATTCAGTGCTGTCCCAAATCTGGAAGATGACACTAGTGCACACAGAGCTCAAGAAGCCCTCTGGTTATAGCTCTAGCGGGAAAGAGGTCTTCTAACTCTGAGAGAGAGTGAGGATCTCCCCACTTTTCCCCTCTATTATTTGTTTCTTGTTGTTTTCTCTGTTCTCATTTGCCCCAGTTTCTAAGAAGTTCTGTGGCATTAGTAGCAGTGGTGGCAGTGGTAGTGGCAGCAGCAACAGCAGTGGGGACAGGACTAAAATGCAGAGAGTTGAACCTTCCTCTATGTTTAGAAGAGTTGTAGTATCAGGAGAATGGGGCAGATCCTCACTGGCTTTTTTGTTTTCCTTTCTCCTTTTCTCTTGTGCTATTTGGCATAGTTCTAGGAAGTGTGGGTGAATAAAGCCTCAGCTTTCTGGCTGGGTGATTAAAAAAAGGGGAGCCCCAGGCAACCAAAAAGTACTTGGATGATTGGAGAGTGGGAGGAGCTTAGGAGAGCAACCTCTTTAAGCTGTTTATGCTTACAGGTTTATTCCTAAACTGTACATATGTGGATCTGAGTCTTAACTGCCAACACACTTTGAGAAATGAACTGTAGCATAAACTACCACCCAGGTCTCAGTCTGGTCACTGTATGCTGCACACATAGGACAGATCCAATAGCTCTGTAAATAATTTGACTGAATTGGTATTAGAACCATAGCTTCAAGGGACTTGTTGCACCATGGAGTCTTAACCTAATCATTGTCTGCTAAAATATATTAACATTTTCTGTAGGATATAAACAAAACCTGGAGTCCCATAACAAACCTCCAGTCCCAAAACCTGGAGTCACCATAACATAGTGGTCAGAATGGTCTGGGATGCAATTTAAAATTAATTGGCATATGAAGAACTAGGATGATATCAAGTTGTATGCATGATGATAATCAACAGGTGTCAGTGCTGAGATGACATAGATGTTAAGTCACTTATAAAAATGCTGCAAGTAAGGGCAAACACAATTGAATGGAATGGAAAAGTGGAAAATCTCAGCCAAGAAATAGAAGATAAAATAGGTACCGTTTGGAAAATTTAGAACTGAAAAATACAGTAATTTATAATTTATAAAGTCATTGAATGGACTCAGTGGTAGAAATGTAATGAGAAGGGAAAGTCGGTGATTTGAAGATTAATAAAAATAATTTTCATTTTGAACAAAATAGAGAAAAATGATTGAGGGAGAAAAAACTCTTCACAGCCTCATATACCGTGCAGCAATATCAGAAAGTCAAACAGTATCAGAAGGTTGAACATGAGAAGGTAATCTGAATTTCAGAAAGAAAAAGAATATAGTTCAGAAAAACTTTTTAAAGAAATTCTCACTGGGAGCTTTCCAAAGTTGGTAAAAGACATAACAGATTCAAGAAACTCAAATGAACCAGAAATTGGATAAACACAGAGAATTTTAAGTTTAGGTACATCTGATATCACACTTATTAGTCCAATATCCTAACACTGCCCGGACTAGTTATATGGTTCTCAGCACTCTTACATTTAAACTATTAAAATATATGACCAGAGGCACCTGGGTGGCTCAGTTGGTTACGCGTCCTACTTCGGCTCAGGTCATGATCTCACAGTTCGTGGATTCAAGCCCTGCATTGGGCTCTGTGCTGACAGCTCAGAGCCTGGAGCCTGCTGTGAATTCTGTGTTTCCCTCTCTCTCTGCCCTTACCCCATTCTCACTCTGTCTCTACCTCTCAAAAATAAGTAAACATTAAAAAAAATTTTTAAATAGGGGCACGTGGGTGGCTCAGCTGGTTAAGCATCCAAGTTAAACTCTGGTCATGATCTCACAGTTTGAGTTTGAGCCCCGTGTCGGGCTCTGTGCCGACAGCTCAGAGCCTGGAGCCTGCTTCTGATTCTGTGTCTCCCTCTTTCTCTGCCCTTCCCCCACTCACGCTCTCAAAAATGAATAAACATTAAAAAAAAAAATTTTTTTTTTTAAACCATAAAATATATATAACCTGAAGAAAGAAACTACCTTAACGTTTTTCTCTTTTCATTTCAGTGCCAGGAACACTAAATAAATACTTGTGCTATGAATTAATACATTTTAATGTAATGATCTCTAACATCTTTATTTTCTTAGTTAAAGGTAGCATAACATTCCTTCCAAAAGCCAGAACAGATCTGCTTTACAAAGTGATGCACTCCATGAAACTGTGGGAATTTCAGACTATTCATATCACTGACATTTTTTTGTGACTAGTATGTACAGGCAGAAAGTAGTAGATTTTGGCCATTATTACAGAACAAGAAGGAAATTAGGTGCAGTGTTGGGAAAAGTTTCATGTCTTGCCCAACACAGAAACATGTTTAATTGTTGAGTTCAGGAATGTAGTCTATCCTCCTTGCTGTAGCAGAATGGGGAAGTTCTCTGCATGCTAAAGCCTACCTTCTGTTGCTCTCCGCATGTTTGGGGGCTTGTGCAAAAAGGGTTTCCTTGGAAGTTTCCTGAAGTTGGACAATAAAACATGACTGTATTAAGCATGATGGTGCTCTAAAATTCTTTACTTTTCAAACCTTGAAGATGATTCAGACCAAGCATCAGGAAATGGGACAATTTTGACAAAATTCCATTTGATACAAGTTCAGAGTATAGTTTTTCATGTCTGCTATCATGGGAGATTCTAAGTTCAGAAAACACGTGGGGTTTTTTTGTTTTGTTTAATTTTAAGTGTAGGTCATTTTTAGTACTCTTGTTTGTTTTTAAATTTTTTCTTTTTTAACATT